CTCCACTTCTTTCCAGGACAGCGACTGGGTGGTGGTGAAGGAGCCCATCATCAAGCTGGCTGCTATAGACAATGGTTTGGCCTTTCCCTTGAAACACCCGGACTCCTGGAGAGCATGTGAGTCCCTCAGGCTGTGCCAGGGCACCTGGCAAGCCATACAACTCTGTGCTCGAGCATCCTCCTCAAGGGCTGAGAGTGGAGAGGGCTAGGGCTGTCCCTGTGCAAACCTTCTGGCTTCGTGGGCAGCTCTGCCTCAGCAGAGGCTGTAGGAAGTGAGTGCTGGACCCTGTGTCCCAGATGCAGGTGATCTGGCACCCAAGGGCATGTGGCACCATCCTTTGCCTTCCCCAGCTCTGATGTCTCCTGCTTCCTCTCGCAGATCCATTCTACTGGGCATGGCTGCCCCAGGCCAAAATCCCCTTTTCACAGGAGATCAAGGACCTGATTCTTCCCAAGATCTCGGACCCCAACTTTGTCAAGGACCTGGAGGAAGATCTGTACGAGCTTTTCAAGGTGAGCTGGGGGAGCGAGTGAGGATGGCTTGGGAGGAAGAAAAGCTCTTACAGGGCTTTGACAGGGGAGCTCCCTGTCAAGACCGCAGGGGACAGAAAGGTGGCCAAGCTCCTGACAGTGTTTCTGGGCTGAGGCATAGCAGGGTTATCCCTCTGCCAGGAGCTGAAGATTCAGTGTGGGGAGAAGTTAGGAAACTTGTGTGACAGGAGGAGAGGGGCTTGCTTGGGGAATAGGCATCTCTTGCATGGTGTGGGGCAGCGGGTGGATTCCACTGTGTTCTCTGCTCTCTCTCTTGCAGAAAGACCCTGGCTTTGACAGGGGACAGTTTCACAAGCAGATTGCGGTCATGAGAGGCCAGGTAAGCTGTGTGCAGGGAAGGCAGATGGGTGAGGCGCAGAGCCTCATCCTGCCTGCGTGGCAGGAAGGGTGCTGGGGTGGATGCTTTCTGTTGCTCCGGCAGGGCAGCTCAGGCATTGCTGTGTTGTGCCATGCAGATCCTGAACCTCACTCAGGCGCTGAAAGATGGGAAGAGCCCCCTGCACCTGGTTCAGATGCCACCTGTGATTGTGGAAACGGCACGTTCCCACCAGCGCACGGCTAGCGAGTCCTACACACAGAGCTTCCAGAGCCGGAAGCCTTTCTTCTCATGGTGGTAGCTGCGGGAGCTGCGGGCAGGGCTTGGCCGCCTTGGACTAGCACTGCAAGAGGAGCCAGGCTGCTGCTGGCTCCTGTGGCTGGGACTCGACCTTCTGAGTAGAGCAAGCAGGTGCGGCTGGAGGAACCTGCAGCTGAACTGGAGGAGCCAGGCAGGTCGGGCACGGTCGCTCCCCAGCTCCGTTGGATCTCGGTGCCCTGCCTGGGGCAGAGCCCAGGGGGAGGTGTGGGAATCCTCTGGGAGCTATGGCGTGGCTGGGACCCTGCCCTTGCCTCCCTTCCTCAGCCTGCATGCGGTTCTGAGCACCCCTGCTTGGGGCTGGGATGAGCAGGCTGCCCGGGCCAGGATCCGTCCAGCCCTTTACACCAGCCACTGGCCCTTTTCTTCCCTGCCGTGCCTGCTGCCGGGCTGGGAAGGCCTGTAGGGGGTTATACCCCCTCCCTTTCCCTGAGGGTGTTCTGTACTCCTCCACTGTCCCTCCTCTGCCCCAACCCTGTGCACGCTGCTTTCCTCAGGGGGAGTTCCTGCTGCCCGCTGGCGCAGTGGGGACCGCAATGAACGGCTGTTCTCTGGCTGGTGGCTTGAGGAGGGGACATACGAGGGACAACTCACGGGGCTGGCTTGGGTGCAGTTAGACACAAAGGGGAAAGAGGTGCTAGCTTGTCCTTGTGAAGAGCAGGTGGCTCTAGGAGGGGATGTAGCTTAGTGCTGCCCCCCAGCCTGTGGGAGCCCCCCCCACAGCTGGAGAGGGCTGAGAGTGGGTGTGAGCACCCTCTCCCCCTCTGCTGCCCCAGTCCACACCTTCTGCCAGGTCTCCACAGCTGCTCTTGCTTGGCTTTTGCCCCTGCTCCCAGCAAGCTCCCTGGCTGCTGTGCAGCCAGCGTGATGCCAGCCTTGTCTGTGCCTGGGGCCCCTGTGAGGGGCAGGGGGCTGCTGGGGAAGGGCCCGAGGGGCTCTTCTGCTGCATGGGTGGGAGGTGTGATAGGAGCATGGGGGGGCCAGCATGGGCTCCTGGCTGCCCTGGTGCTGACAATCTCACAGGCCTACTGTGGATGGGTGAGGCAGCGAGCCCTTCTCTCCCTAGAAGCTGCTGAGCTTGTGTTGTATAAAACAGTACCAGGGCTGCTGCCTGCATCTGCTTGCCTTGAGCTGTGGCTTTTCCTCCTGCTGGGGGAAGCTGGTGTTGGGTCTCGCTATCCTGTTAGCCCATCTTTGGGGGGTCGGAGGGAATGAAGGCAGGTTGGGGCTCTGCTGCTTGAACCTGGGAGGGGAGAGCAGCTCCCTCATCTCCTGTGCGGGGAGGGAAGGGGCTTGGCGCTGGCTGTGCGAGCACAGGGTGGGCAGCAGTGAGACCCCAGCTCCCCAGCCAGGCCCAGCTGCATCTCTGACTGACCCAAAATGTATTGTTCTAATGCACTGTAGAAATGTATGTAATGTATTTAAACCATGCAACTGTCTGAATAACAGAGCTGCCGTTCAGC